AAGAATGTGAAAACTGCACTCTCCCATCAGATGTAATTGTATGTGAGTGCTGAGAGAAAATAAATAAATATCTATGGAAATAACATTACGTGCTTTCCTTGCAAGATGACTGTCACTCATAAACTTCAGTCCCAGCGGCTTAAAAACACAAGTTTCAACGAGTATCAGGAACGCAGCCTTGTTGTCAGATGACACTGCTGTTAGGTGCCAACTTCCGCTTGCCAGATTCCTATTTAATCATCACTGTTTAATGGAGTACGGGTTTTCCCCCAGTACTGCACAAATGACTGAAAATGAGTTCAAAGCATATTTGGCTGTGAGATACCAGTCATAATTATCGATGGCACCCAGACTAAAAAAACAAATACAAATATTTTTTTAATGAACATTTTCTGAATTGTTTTCACTACACTTTTCCCATGGACGTGTAAGCTATAAATTAAGATCCAGGAACGTTGCCCTGCAATAAAACGTTCCAGCTAGGTGGGACAATATTTATTAATAAGTAATGGGAACTATGGGTGTGGAGATTGCTGCGTTGGACATTTCTGATTGGTTGAGTACTTGTCTTCTGCTTTTCAACCACCTACATTTGTCTTGTAGTCTCTTACAAAGCTGACATTTAAGAACTGGTGACACTTTATAAATCAGCAGTGTAATTAGCCTTCAGTCGACAGTTTGAAAGAGCCTTTCAATAAAGATTTGAATTGTTCCAGATACTTATTAGGTTTTGTCTACTATTTTATTTACCCCCAGTGCTGAAATTTGAGCTTGTTTGAATTCAGAATTTTACTGCTTTAGATGCACCAGCAAAAAATGTTACCAGGAAGGCACCAATCACAGCACAGACAAATGTACAGGGCTAAACGCACAATGCAGGGTACGTGTTTGTTTAGCTACATTTGTGGACATTTCCTGTTTTTTATTCTCACTGTTTGTTTAATTTTTGCTCCCATCTACTACTTTGCAGGACGCTTTGTCTCACGTTATCTGTGGAGACTTAAATAGGCCGGTGTCTTGTCTTGCATAGACAGAGCGTAAATCTATGTTTGCCTTTGTGTAATGTGCATAAAAGTGCTGAAC